CCCCTATCCCGGTCCATCGTTCCCCATCCTGGGGCTCTGTTCCCTATCTCGGTCCATCGTTCCCCATCCCGGTGCTCTGTTCCCTATCCCGGTCCATTATCCCCTATCCTGGTCCATCATTCCCCATCCTGGTGCTCTGTTCCCTATCCCGGTCCATCATTCCCCATCCCGGTGCTCTGTTCCCTATCCCGGTCCATTATCCCCTATCCCGGTCCATCGTTCCCCATCCTGGGGCTCTGTTCCCTATCTCGGTCCATCGTTCCCCATCCCGGTGCTCTGTTCCCTATCCCGGTCCATTATCCCCTATCCCGGTCCATCGTTCCCTATCCCTGTTCGCGCTCTCCCGGGGGCGTTCCCTGTGGGCGCGGCCCTTCCTCTGCTGGCCCCGCCCCCCTTCGCCGATTGGCTGCGAGACCAACCCCACCGCCCAATGGCGTCTCAGCCCGTGGGGTGCTGTGCCCGCCCCTCGTGACGTCACCGGCCACCTCCCCGCCTCCGCGTCGCCGCTGCCGCGGGAGCGCGCGGAGGGGGGCGCGCGTGCGCGGCGGCGGCGCGCGGTGACGCGGAGCGTGCGCGGAGCGGGGTCGGGTTCAAAGGAGGAAACATGGCGGAAAACAAAGGAGGCGGCGGCGGAGGGGACGCGGCCGCCGAGGCCGCGCCGGGCGGCGGCGGCGGCCTGGACCCGCCCTGCGCCTCCCCGTCCGCCGCCGCGCCGCCCGAGGAGCGCGACAGCCCCGGCGCGGCCGCGGCCGAGCGCGGCGCCGGCGAGGCCGAGGCAGAGGCGGCGGCGGGGCCCGGCGCGGCGGCGGGGCCCGGCCCCAGCCCGGTGCCGCCGCTGACGCCCGCGGCGCCGGGGCCGTTCTCGCTGCTCGACACGTGCGCCGTGTGCGCGCAGAGCCTGCAGAGCCGGCGGGAGGCAGAGCCCAAGCTGCTGCCCTGCCTGCACTCCTTCTGCCGCCGCTGCCTGCCCGAGCCCGAGCGCCAGCTCAGCGTGCCCGTGCCCGGCGGGGCCAACGGCGACGTGCAGCAAGGTGAGCACCGTGGGGGCTTTCCCTGCGGGGAGCGCCCCGCCGGCAGCGGGTTGTCCCGGGAAGGAGCGCGGGGTTTTCCCGGTCCCCGCGCGGGCAGGTCCGTCCGCGGCCGCAGGAGCTGCCGGTGCCCCGGTGCTGCTCGGGGGGTGTTCCGTGTTTGCGAGCGGCCGCTGGAAGTTGGGAGGTTGCTGGGATCCAGAGTGTGAGTCGCGTTCCGTGGGTTTTCAACACACGTGGAAGGAATGGAGCTGTTGGACAGGGCCCAGAGGAGGAACCAGGATGATCAGAGGGATGGAGCAGCTCTGCTGTGAGGAAAGGCTGGAGAATTGGGGTTGTTCACCCTGGAGGAGAGAAGGCTCCGGGGACACGTTATTACAGCCCTGTAGTACCTAAAGGGGTGCTGTGTAAGACTACTGTAACGAGTACTATAAGAAAGATGGGGACAGACTTCTTATCAGGGACTGTTGTGACAGGACAGGGGGTAGTGGTTTTAAACTGAAGGAGGATCGGTTTAGATTAGATTTAAGGAAGAAGTTTTTTACAACGAGGGTGTTAAAGCACTGGTACAGGTTGCCCAGAGAGGTGGTGGATGCCTCTATCCTGGAATCATTCAGGGTCAGGCTGGACCAGGCTTTGAGCAACCTGTTGAAGATCCCTGCTCGTTCCAGGGGGATCGGACTGGATGAGCTTTAAAGGCTCCTTGCAACCCAGACTGTTCTGTTTTGGCTCTCAGGGAGGGACTGGGCAGCCTCAGTTCTATAGCACTGGGGTAAAGCATATCTAATTAAGTGCAAACTACCTGCCTAGGTGGGAATTGTGTGTCCACTGCACCTGCTTTGCTTTGACTGAGATAAAACCTTGCAGTGCTGTTTGTCACTTGAGTTGCTCTGTACGTGCCCAACTTGTGCCAGGAAAGAAGAGTACCCTGCTCCTTCCAGGTGTTCCTATCAAAACCACAGCTTGAGTTTTATTTTTTTTTTTAATATATTATACATTCAGGGATGGAATTGAAAAGCTTCTGGAGCTGTAGATGGGGTGACTCACGTGCTGTGGTGTACAGACCAATTTAGGGCCTTGGTAAGTGGTTTTACAGGTCTTAATTGGACCCTCTGGTCAGAGAGACCTTGTTTGGTGACATCTTTGGACTCAGGTGTATCCTGTGTTGCACAGTGAAGGAATTAAAACCTGGCTTGGTAGTGATTTGTTCATCCAAACTGTTCAGAAGTTCATCTAGGAAGTGCTCTTAGAAAATTCATTAGTTTTAAAAAGATAATGTATTAAATATAGTTTGTAAATACACTCTCTAGAGTACTGAGGTGGTCCTGTGATCCATCTTTTTAAGTTCCAGATTTTGCATTATATCACAGAATCCCAGAATGGTTTGGGTTGGAAAGGACCTTAAAGCTCATTTTGTCCCACCCTCTGCCATGGGCAGGGACACCTTCCACTATCCCAGGTTGCTCCAAGCCCTGTCTAACCTGGCCTTGGACACTTCCAGGGATGGGGCAGCCACAGCTTCTCTGGGCAACCTGTGCCAGGGCCTCCCCACCCTCACAGGGAAGTGATATGCCAGTGGAAGACACAGAACTTGGGAAGCTGGGTCTATTTTCTTAGCAAATACAGGATTATCCAGGTCCCACTGTAGGACACAGGTGTGGGAACAACACGAGGTGTAGCTCCTGCACTGTATATAGACTGGAATATCACTTCTTGTAGTACATGTTTTAGGAGTGCTTGTTGGTGTGCTTTGGTGTAGGAAGAGTTCATCTTTGGGTTGCTGCAGCAAAAAGTTTTAGATCATGTGATTAAGATGTGGGCTCTGGAGCATCTCTGTTTTGAGGAGAGACCGCGGGAGCTGGGCCTGGTTAGTCTGGAGGAGACTGAGAGGGGATCTCATGAATGCACAGAAATATCTCCAGGGGTGTCAGAGGATGGTGCCAGACTCTTTTCAGTGACAGGACGAGGAGCAATGGCCATAAACTTAAACACAAGTTCCACCTCAAAATGAGGAAGAACTTTTTTCCATGGAGGTGGCAGAGCACTGGAACAGCTGCCCAGGGAGGTGTGGACTCTCCCTCTCTGGAGACATTCCAAACCAACCCGGACAAGGTCCTGTGTCACCTGCTCCAGGTGACCCGGCCTTGGCAGGGGGATGGGCTGGGTGTTCTCCAGAGCTCCTTTCCAACCCCAGCTATTCTGGGATTCTGTGTAGGGTCTGGGAGAGCGCTGTGGTAAGGACGTGTGTGATCCATCTGCAGTGGTACCTGAGCCTGCCTGAACACAGGAATTGGCCAGCAGGGCAGGAAAGAACCGGCCACGGACCAGCAAACACAGTTTTGTGGACAGTTCTCTCTGCACCTTGTGAGTGGAATCAGTGTGGCACATGGGACAGTTACCAGTAAATCAGATAGAAAATGGACATTCTCAGCCTACAGAGAAGTACCACAGTGCTTAGTCATGCAGGTTCCTTCCCTGTTCTGGTAGTCACCAAGTGTTACTTCCACTTCTGCTGCTTCCCTGGTCTCCCTCACCACGAGCAGGTGCTTTTCTTGGAGGAAGAGTTAATGAGAAGTGGTACCTGTAGCTATACCTGAAGCAAGTTACACTTAACTGCTGCAGGTTGGTTCATATCTGTTGCACTGGTGAAAGAATTGGTTTTGCTCTTGTTTGCATATTTGTTGGGGAAAAAAATAGAAGTTTCCTGGTTTATGTATTTTCGACATATATATTCTTTTATGCTGTTTGTTCAACATAAAAAGTAGCATCTCATATTCAGTTTAATGTCTTAATTGGTCATTGGAATGTGAATTTTATTTGGTGGATAGATGATTTCTTAATGCCTGGTGTTTCACCTGTCCACCTGGACTCTTAGTTTCAGACTGAATAGGTTATGAGGAAAAATGCCTTCTTGTATTTGTATCCCAGTATTCTGAAAAATGCTTATTTCTAAGTTAAGAGTTACAGATACTGTAAAACAACTTTTCCTGCACCCACTGCTGCTCCTGCTCCTGGAAGATACGTTGTTTTGTGGTTTCACTGCCTGGCTGAGATATTTACAATCTCTCTTAAGAAGATTATCTCAGTACAGAGAACGTGGGGCTCTCCCAGCTCCTTGGGAATGTCACAGTTTTCATTGGGCTGAAAAGCTAAACAGGAGTTGCAAGATGCTTTCAGAGAGCCAGGGGGAAACATCCACAGTTGGTTGTGTGTGGAAACTGAGGAACAACGTGTTTACTAGTGAGTGCTGTGATGTGTAGTACCATAAATTAGTTGGATATGCTGAATTCAACTCTTAAACTCAGTGTTTGTGTATTAATCACATCTTAAGTTATGCAGTAACTGTTTTTAATTTACTGTGAAAGGGGGACATAAATGGTCTGATGTGTATGAGCATGTGCCATTGAGTTTGGTGGTAGTTACTGTATTTTCAGTCTAGAAGAATAATGAAAATTCCTGCATCAAGCAGACTTTTTAAGCTGTGTAAATGCAGTATCTTAATTCCAGTGGATGTGAGTACTTATCACTTAAAAGAACTGGTGGAAAGCAATCTGGGCTTCGCCATTGCCTCAGACTTGAAGCAAAAACCTTTAATTGAGAAGTTGCGAAAGGCAAGTTGCTTTAATTGAAAACTGCTAAAGACAAGTTGCAAAAAGACAAGTTGTTTAATTAAAAAGAGTGGGTTTAATTTAAAAACTGTTACATGGTAAGGGCTTCAGCTCACCTGGCCCTCCCAAGTCAGGTCTAGCAGGTGAATTTTGTTGGATGCAAACAGAGCAGCCCTGAGCCTACTGTGGATGTAATTAAACCACTGTTCAAGTGCCCAGGACGGTGCAGTGGGAGATCAGAGCACAAGAGATCACGAGGGAAGAGCAGAGAAGAAGATGGATGGGGATGAGAGATCCAGGAGCCTGAGAGGATACCGGGGATGGAAGACAAGGATCTGTCTCCAGGGTTGGAGCCCACCACCAAGGACAGACCCTACAAGCCAGCACTGAGCCCATGGTGGTGGGAACCCCTTTTCTGTGCTTCTAGCAATTTCTCTTGGCTTTTCCTACTTTTCTATTTCTCTTCTTTCCCTCCTCTCTTTTTGTTTTAGAAAATAAAGTTGAATTATTGTTTTGGAATCCAACATCTGGCTTTGTTTGTGCCAGGAATTTTCAAACTTAACTCCTCTCTGCGTTGTTGGACCGAGGCAAACTTCGCCTCTCTGCACCAAGTGGGTTGGAACAATCACTTGAACTCTCTTGAATCTTTAGTTTTCTCCTCTGTTAATAAGTGAGGGTTGTGAAGATATGCTGGAGCCCAGCAGGAGTCCTGAAAAATGGTCAGTTTGTATTCTGGGCTTCCTGAAAATCTTATTGTGAAACTTAAATTTCAGTCTAAATTAATAGTGTATTTTAAGATATTTCTGTCTGAGAACATTTAGGCATGTTTTATTTTTGTAAGAATTAATATCTGTGATTGCTATAAATTGTGTTTTCTTATTAAATGTAATGTGTTGTACAGTTGTGATTTAAACAAGGATTGTTCAAAAAAAAGTGCTGAGTTAGAAGTGGACCTTGAAAGCAGTTAATTTTTTTTTTAATGTATTTTTGTTCTGACGGGTTTCAATCCGATTGTGTCACTGCCTTGACCTGTGAGGGGTTATTTCAAGGTCTAATCACTGAATTAGAGCAGGGGTTTGATGTATGGCTGTGCAGAAACTGCTGGACCCTTGCAGTGCTGAGAGAAGTAAATATTATGCACGTGGAGTAACTATTATTGGTGTTCTCACCCAATAAATGAGACCTGGCAGAGAATCATTCCTGAGAGGGCTGATAATGTGCCAAGTTTGAACTTCAGACGGAAACTGGAGTTATTAAATTGCAAGAGTGTTTGCAAATATTTCCTGAACTGGGAAGTTTTATCATCGTTGTAATAATGTAAACATCTGACAGGACTTTAATTATCTCATATTCACATGGGCACTTTGTGTGTGGAATCAGCCTGACACAGTGCAA